TAAATCCGCAATTTGTAAATATAGATTGTGGATATCCGTGGACATTGCGGATCGTGCCGCAGTCTAAGAATAACTCTAAGCACCGCCTTCCCAAATGATCATACATTGGTTCAGACTGGTCAATAACGATTCGCATTCGAACCTGGGCAGGTGATCCTAGAATAATCTGGAAATTCGGAAATAGAAAGTATATAGGGATCACGACTCCCAGACCCTCTTTCTACAAAGGGATTAGAAGATAAAGAGAGTTGGAAGATGATCACAATATAATTAGAGATACAATATAGCAAGTACCTACAGTAGGATAGAGGAGACAATTTAGTTTAACCACAAAAACGTCAAGCGGCCTGAAACATGTCCAAGAACCACATTGTTATCATTAGTGGCCACACATGTTGCCCGATAGTCTGGTGGAAGCCAAATTAATTGCTGTCCATTACGAGTTATCCATTTCTCACAGACAAATATCCCATTTTCTTGTTGTTGGGTGAGGGAGGTAAGAGGCTGGCAGCTCAAAGAAAGTGAGCCGCGGTCAGTAGCGAGAAATCCATTAGTTGAGAGCGACAAGGTGTTTACACCCACGTCAAACTGCAGCTTATCTGCTTCAACGCCAGATGCTGGATCCCAGAGCCGCACGGTGTGATCATGAGAGGCAGATACGACCATCTTCCCGTTAGGTGAGAAGGCCACCGCGCTGACTGAACTCGTGTGGCCCTGCAGCATATAGCGTCCCACCCCCGTGGCTGGATCCCAGAGCCGTACGGTATCATCACCAGAGGCGGACGCGACCGTCTCCCCGTCAGGTGAGAAGGCCACCGAAGGTTGCGGGAGTGATTGACAAGGGAGTGGGATGGAGGAGCGTGCATCTGTCTGGTACGCCGTGCAACTTCAAGTGGTTGGTATGCGGAGGTAGCTCACACACTCTAGCTGCATGAGATTGTGCCGCAGAACACACGGCGTCGATCGTGTGGGTCGATGTGGATCGGAGCTCTGGTAGCTCGAAGAAGCTCGTCCTCCTGGTGGTGTCAGCAGCTCAATACAGCAACCTAGTTCGTTTTGCTTAGACGGCGCAGAGACGGGAAATGCTGCAACAGCAACACAGCTGGAGCCAAACCATACCGGAAAATGTAGCCTTGGTCTGGAAGGAGAAAATTGGCATCAGAACTCACAACATCATTTGCACAGCCCCTTACCATCTTCTGTTTCGCTTGGGCCACGCAGATACGATACTACCATCATCCGCTAAACAGGCCCGTCGACGTGTCATGCGAGGCAAATCTCGCCATGCACAGTCAATGACCGGACAGGATTTCGCAATGTCGTTCGAAGCAGCGCAGGAGGTGGTTCGGCGGTGGGATTGGTAACTGACGAGGGAAAGATCGTGGGAGGCGGAATACTCCGTACATTTCACCCGATATTGAGGGAGACATCTCGTTGTTATTCGCTCGAACTGTTGCATAAGCGGTATACGGCGCAGCGACTCAGTCAAGCCGATGGTTGGTGATGACGTCAAATTTTGTGGTCGACCACAAATTGACGTCATCACCTCGTCTTCCGTATGCTTCAAAAGACACTCCAGGCTTGAAAAATCACCTTCCATTTCACCGACATACCAAGCGTTTTCTGTGCGAGTTCTGGCGGCCGAGTAACGATCCGCTCTCTTTTCACCAACAATCGAGCAATCAGTGCAATCTCGGTGATCAATATGAAGTCTGTGCTCTTACCCCCGCTGCTCTTGCAAGTCAACCCAGCCATATCCCAAAGAGAGCTAGCACCCTTTGGGAGCGGTGTCTGCAAATGGGGTGGAGAAATCGTCGTCGGTGGACGACCTAGTGGCTGCAGAATGGTTGACTGGTGTTATTATGAGTCTTGGGGAGTCTATTGCAAGTTGACTTCTTTCAATAACCAATATTGGTGTCATGATTATCCTTGGCCCTGTGGTATAATCTGCAATAAGTGAGAGACGTTCCCTCAGCTATCCGCAAAGGTTCTGAAGCTGATGTGAAGCAGACCACCAGAGGGCTATGACGGTGCCACATTGTTGATGGAAAGTGAGGGAGATCGGCACGAAGAGTTATAGTCAAGAGCTTAGTCGCTTGGGCAGCAGGGAGCTCACTTGCAGTTTGTCTATCATTGCCGAAAGAGTCTCTGAGATCTGATTGCGATACATTTGATGTCTCGATTGGAGGTTGGCAAGCGCGGTTAATACTGTATTCAAATCTACCACCATAAGAGGGCTCGTAAACTGCAAACTTCGTCACCATTAGGCTTCATGGATAGGTTGAAATCACTGAGAATGGATCAATTCCTCACGCTGATGCTAGAATAACCTTGCTTCAGCAACTATTTTCGCCAGTAACGTGACCTATGAAAAGAGGCTGGCCTACCTGATGTAATGCCCGTATGTCGAAAGTGGCCCTCAGCACTCTTCTCTCACTCACCAACAGCCTGGAATTGAGGTGGTGGCAGAAAATCTAGGCGGGGTGTATTCTTGGCCGTCATGGCATGGTTTGGCTACTTTGAGTTTCCGTCTGTCATGGTACCATTCACGGTAGGGACGGGCCGGAAATATAGGCCAACCGCTTTCAATAAGCTAGGGCTTCGGAACTAGGGTTTGAAAATCGGCTTCGCCTGTCTAAAACAAAGATTGTAAATGCCAAGAAATGCCAAGCCTCCTTTGGAAAAGCCCAAAGTAGCTTGCTCCATGCTTCGGTATTGTGTCGTATCAGAATATCTTATCACAGATGACTGTCATATTACTGGTGAATACGCACTTCGCACGCTGTGGACCACGAAACCATAAAATGCCCAATGTAGCCTTAAATAAGCAACCGCTGGAGGTGGAACCGTAAAACAGCGCTTAAGGACCAAATAAAAGGCTTAAAGCATGTAGCTTGATGGCTAAATAAGGTGGGGAAGTGCCCCCATGACAAACTTGAAGTATAAATGATGAGAGAGCAGGGTGGCAGTTATGTACCAGATCCTATACCCTCCTTCTAGAATCCTTCTACTATCATGCTTTCAGCTCGCTCATGATAAATTTCAGATAAGTTCCAACAGATCTTTTTCCAGTGTCGTACACAGTTTGGATCCCAAAACCACGACTCTAGGCCAAATGCGTATTCTCTATTGACAAGCCGCCCGAGCTTTTGCCTTAAACTTAGACGATCTGTGGCCAGGTCATATCCCCACTGCCTATAATCAGCTAGTTGATCGATAAGATGATCAACCAAAGGCTCTCCATTAATTGATGGCGAAACATGATCCAGCAGACTCTCTAAGAAGCTTGATAGAAGGTGGTGATAATCGTCGACCGAAAGTTTCTCCATCCCGGATGTCTTGAAGTGGGCTAAATTCTTGCTCTCTCGAAAGAAAGGTCGTAGAAACATTTTGTAAGGTTCCTGTTCGGTGTTCACCATTTGGCTGCAGGGTACGAAGTTAAGCAGAGCTTCTTTCGGTATATAATCTAAGCACAGGTATTCATCTGCATTATGCGCCCATTTTCTCGACAATTCGCTGATAATGGAGCCTTTGAACCTAGGCTTACTATCAAGAAAGAGAAGTAAATCTGAAACCCGCCATACTCGAACTTTTATCTCGTGCATTTTAGACGTATCGAATATCGCTAGGCCACTTTGCTGTGAATCTGTGGCGATTTGGTGCTTTTCAAACGATCTATGTAACGTCCATCGGAAGTCAGCGCTAAGAGAGAGAAATGGCGAGATGTAGTAATTCGTATCTAACGGTGTTCGCCCCTTGTTGATCTGAGTTTTCTGGAGGTGCTGTGATATTTCACCAGACAAATCCTGAATTATGGGCAATTCATCTTCTAGGTCGTATACCGATACTCGAAGTTCACAAAACTCTTCCCATTCCTGGTAGAGATGAAGATCTGATCCGAATGTGTCACAGTAGTTTTCCGTGAAATCATCGATAAATCGAGGAAATAATTCACCATGCATGTGCGCTCGGAACAAGATCTTAGGGTACGGCTTTTGATGTTGTTTCATGTTCATAAACGTTTCCACTTTAACTCCAGTTAGCTATAATATCACTGTAATTGATATGGACAGACCTACATTCTCTCCAATCAATATTGTGCATCAGTTTCTCAGTAAATTCAGCTGGACTGTGCGGGTTATGAACATATGAAGCTTTCACTTTATATATTGCATCTGATAAGCTCATAATGCTATTCGAGACATCACCTAGATGTTGGGGTGATTCAGAATATTGATAGAGGTAGTCGCTAACCGCGCGAAGAATATGCGTAGCAGGTTGGTTACAAGCCATATTGGTCAAGATTGATCCTTAATTAGGTCTACTTCGAAATACTATATTGTTGGGGGCGGGAGCGGGGGCCGGGGAGCATTAGTTAGAATATTGCAAAAGATACAAAATGCCCTATCAAGAATGAAGGTTCTTCGCTGAGAGTGAAGACTAGAGACTATTGATAAGACAAAAAAAAAAATAAAAACAAAAAACAACAACCCCCCCTTCCCCAGCTAGATAAAGCTAACCGGGGATTGACACGTCACCATATATGACTAATAGGTACTAAGTAGACGGTCAGATGACATGCCGATATGACGTGGCCAAGGCAAAGCTGTGAAAAGATAGGCAAAAGGCTTTCTAATGGGAAATATAGGACGATGCATGGAGGAACGGCCTGTATCTATAGGCAATGCTACAGTGAGCTGCGAAATTAGCTTGCCCATCTCACACTTTTGTGATTTCTATAAAACTCTAGATGCTAGGTTACTAAGTCATTCCACAAGATACTATTGGTTTAGTGATGATTGCGAAACACAACACTGGTTTAGATCCTATGCCAAGATTACTTTAAGAATGAAGCAGAATTTTGCTGGGTAAGTTGGTCTTATAGATTTGCAGAGTATGGTAAATAAGAGCCAAGCTAAATGCAGATAAAGTAGGATATGTACAGGAAGAAAAGTGAGCGCGTGAGGTCCGTTCATCGCAAGGCCCTGTTATAGTAAGAGAAATGTAGTAGGCTAAAATTATTGAACAAAATATGTAATTAACGCCCTAGAACCCTAAGGCCAAGGCAGAACCAGTTCCAAGGCATTCCAGGAGCGAAGGAGAAGTGTGTGTGGTAACGATCCTGTCTCTTACGATCTGGCGCATCTCAAGAAGAGGTCTGTTACGCCCGTGGCTTCGTTGTCAAGTCTGCGACCAGTTAGCGGATCACGTTCCCAGGGTTACTAACCTAAAGTTGGCCTTCGACCCTCGTTGCTATTAAATTATAGTCTTGGTAAGGCGGGAGTCGATACAAGACTACCATTGATACTAAACCATTGTTATTATAGAGATATAGTTAATATTAGACTACTGTCGTTTCAGGGATATAGTCGATACAAGACTACTATCGATACTAAACTTAAATTTAAAAGGCCAAGCCTACTGAATACGTATATCTAATAGTTAAAAAGTACAAACAAGTCGAGATTAGTTATATTACTAAAGATAACTCTATAATAATA